GATAATTTGTTTTTCATATTTTATATTAAGTAATACATTTTTGTTGAGAAAATAAGAAGGAAACTTAAGCATAGAAAATTAATGCAACATATAGCACTTAATAGAATTTTAAATCGACATAGTTAACTAACAAAGACCATTAATAAATCATTTTTATAAAGTTTTACTGGTAATTTTTCATAAAAAGTATAATCTATAAGTTGCATTTAATTTTATATGCTTAAGTTTCCTTCTTACTTTTTCAGCAAAAATTTATTAGTTAATAAAATTGTGAAAATAAAAAAAAATATCCTTCTTTACATCTTGCGCTCACAAATTATTATGAGAATATCTATTTACACTTATTAAAGCATGTCTGCGATGTTATCGTCATGCGATGATTTGTAGATACTTTATTTTTTACCACGATATTTTCGACGATGACGTTTTCAAACTGCGAAGTTTTTGAACCGCTTTTAAAATGATATCCTTATCTCTTTTTTTATTTATTTTATAGTAAGTTTTAAGCAATAACACGCTTACTCAAAATATTTTTTGGCCTTTTATTTACGATCTAAGAAGTCTCTTAAGTAAGTCAAACAGTTACCATATTACGTTCAGTGCAATTTACTTGTTTACTTGGTACTATGATTATTTACATATAATGGAACATATAATCATTCATCAGAAATACACTACAATATATCTCTTGAAATGTATTTGCTTCTTAGTAGCGAGTTTTTTGCTCTTAAGTTATACCATTTGTTTTTCTTGTTTCTGCTGTGCAAGCGTTTTAGTCTTAGATTTGTATACCATTTGCTAAATTGAAAATAATTTATGTAGGAGATAGATTTCAATAGGAAAAAAAAATTAACTGTAGTGAGATGCTTTCATTTTCAGATAACCATAATTTTTTGATCAGATGTACTTTTCTGTATACATTTAGATACGAAATTGCATTTAAGTATGAAATTGAATGTATATGAAATTTGATATTCAAATAAAATTATATACTTACATTAAGAGTAAGAACTGTTACCCTTTTACTAGAAAACTACTTTATACTTACGATAAATGTAAAAGCAGATATAAATAATCGGAATGTCATTGGATAACGACTTTGACATTAAATCTGGTGTAGATTATTTTTCTAATCTTCTTGGTTCTTGTATTAATCCATATAAATCAAAAGCAGTTATCTCGTAATATAAACAAAATTATTTCAATTTATTTCAGAATAAATTTAAGCCCTAATGGAAAGAAAAGGGTTTCATCTCAGGAAATATCAGTTCATATTAAAAAAAAATCTGATGTGGACACCACATGACTTCTTTATACGGCCTATTAAATTATAAACCTTTTGGCTGCATTTCATTTAAAGTTATTCCCTCGAATTTCATTAGAGATCTATTTCTGACGCAATAATTCAATTCTCTCTTCGCAGCAAGGCAAAAATACATGAAAACTCAAAATAGTTTCATTAAAATTGGAAAACATAGAAAACTGTAAAACACCAAATGCAGTTTTAAAATTTAAAGAACAATTTTTGCAATTAAAAAAGCAACTTTTTCAAATAAAATTAAAATTTCTACACAAAAATAAGCAATTTGGCAAGGCAGATAGTTCGGTGCACCAAAGTTAACATTCACTTTTGGTCTCACTCAGCAAAAAAGTCACTTGCTTAATTCACTATTCTGTTTAAATTTTAAAATTAAACAAGTGGCTGCTCCGTTAGACTTAGTTGCACTTAAACAACTTTTAAATTGTTGATAATTCTACAACTATCGTATGCAGATTAATTAAAGGCGCATAAATATTTGCGGGAACTAAAAACAACATATTTTAATCACCCATACGTATGTACCTACAGACGTCACGAAAAAAATCTTTTCTGAGTACCTTTCATAGTCATTTTTTCATCTGTTTGGGAGAAAAAGATCTTTATTCTATTAGTACCCATAGATGTAACGCAAAAACATCCTTAAAATGGATTTGAGAGCGTTGAAAATGAATATATTCGTTGAAATATGATACCCGAAATTTTTCGCAATTACAATACTTCCTTTACGTTTTCCAAGAAAGTAAAAACGAATATTTTTTAAGTGGCAAAATATGTAAAAGTATTGTTTTTATTTTAAAAACAAAGAAAAAAATGTGCCCCCCCCATTCTAATACCTAAAACCTGTCATACATAGCAATATTCCTCCTGCTGTTAGAAAACATAATGAATGCTAAATAATTCAAATATTTAAGCCAAGAAGAACAGAATATTCTAATATCCTTAGCTTAATTTATTCCTTCTTATTTGCTTGTACAAAATGCGAATATTATGTAAATTCATTTTGTGCATTTTGTTTATATGCGTATCGTTTCTAATTAGGAATTAGAAGTAAATTATAAATTTGACTTTTTATTCAAACTCAGATTGATATATACTGTATATGCTTACGAGTATGAATGTTTGTACAAATGAATCATTAAAATATCGCCATATTTTCTAATGTTTGTTGTTTTAGTCTTGCAATACTCACTGATAAAGGATATATAGTGAACTATGTCATTAAAAGCAAACATTACAAATTAAAGCCACTAATTTTGTTGAAATAGAGTTACACTGTTTTGACAATTAATAAAATAATTAATCTAGAAATGCTTATGAACTGCAAATAAATCACGTAACATGTTAAATATTTGAACATATCTATTCAAATTCCATATATACCATGACAGAAATGCAAACAAAATTATTTACTAACATTATTTATTACATTCTATTAAACACTGTAAATCAAACATCAAAGCGCTTGTTGTGTAGGTGTAGGTTTCGTGTATATTTTAAAGAAAACATTAGAAATGGTAATTGGAAGAGATTAGATATGCATGTTTTATTAACTATTTTAGTTTCTGTAGGTTACAAAGCTAGATAAAAATAATATCAATAACAAAAGCAGTAAGAACTCTTAGCAGTATGAATGCCGAGTTTTTATAATACAAATTTCAATCTCTTGTCCGTGGTTTAGAATATTACTGATGTCAATAAAAACTCTGGAAAAAGGAGCGTTAATCAATAAATGGTTTTATGACATCACCTTTGGCTGGATTGTTATCAGCAGGATTCTATAGACAATAGCATGAAATCTTATTTTTTTCCAATGGCGCGTTTATAGGCATGGGTCACTACTAAGGCCGGAAGCGGTATCCTCTTTATTATGGAGGTACCTAATAGGGGGACATTTTTAACTACTTTGAAGGCACGGACAAATTGCATACATGTCTTCTGCGGGATTCGAATCCGGGCCCTTCGGTATGGCAGTCAGGGTCACTAACCACTTGGAATTGGTGCAGCATATGTAGTTTACTTGTTTGGTTTAGAAATAAACTATAGCAAATTTTGAACCTTACAATCGGTTTCTCAAGCCGAACTGGCTGCTACCATATATTCTTTCAAATGAGTTGATGAAAACCTGACTGTAAAAACATATTAATACTATATATGCATACTCATTATCTGATTTGGAGACATTAGCATAAGCTGATAACACTAATATTTTGATCTCATATATAAAAGATCCCCTTGTAAAAGTTGAGAAAGTACACGAAGTGAAAATGAACTGGGTAAGGTCCGTATTAGTGTTATAGGAAGTGAGAGTACCGACCTGAAAAGATTTAATGCAAAAACTAAACAGTCTTTTTAGTTTTTGCAGTGCTTATAAAATCATATCCATAGATGTTTATCCAATCATAATGAAATCCAAAACATTTCTATGGTTCAATCATAACGAAATACGATAAACTTCTATGTATACATTGATTCTTAATGTTAAGACGCAGGCATTTTAGACGGGGAACAAAGCGAAGAGATATTAGCAAGGTAGAAAGCTAGCTGACGTAATTAGCTGCCACGAGTATTTATACCAAGTTTGATGTAAAAATACAGCTAATTTATGATTTATTAATTAGTAGAGTTACATAACATCGAAAGATCTCGAATTTGGGAGAACAGATGAATTTAGGGAGCGAGAGCACCTATTCTAACAAATGGAAGAAGAAGGAACAGAGCAGCGTAAGGTCTTATGGCTGGGAGCAGTCCGACGAAAAATCCGCATCCGCACAGATATGGCTGAAATATCGCGTAAGGCGCGACGTCTCCGGCTTAATGAAGCAAAGCCCAGAGGGCACATGACATTATCAATACAGAAGTGGAGGTCTAAGTTGATTAGAAGAGGGTGACCAGGAGTCACAATCCTAAGAAGGCCAAAAAGCAGTGGAGTTAGGTGACATTAAGGCTAAGCTGCAGATATTAATAATCAACTCGGTATTCGTATTTATTTAATGACTGCACTGTATATTTAAGGAGGGAGAAAACTCCTTACATTCACCTCCACTTAAGTACCAGTAAATTCAAATCTAAAACTTGGTAGCCAAGGGATTTACAAATGATTTAACGCGAAGTTGGCTCAAAACTTTCACCAGTGTAAAGATTTAAATGTCGGCAACTATAATGCAAACCCGAAGAATACGGTGTAACAAGATACATAAAAAGATACTATATAAGAACTACACATAAAAAGTCTTATCTCAGCTAGCTAACCTAGCAACGAAGCCCGGAAAGGCAGAAAGAGGCTCTATCCTACGATCCGAAAATCTCACTTTATAACGTCGAACAGCCAGCGCGTCTTCCACTGTTCGTAGCCCTTCTGGAAGGTCTCGCGCGTCATGCTGTCGAGGGCTCTCGTCGATGGAGTCGAGTCGCTTGTCTTTTAGGCCTGTCTTGATTCGGAGGAACAGGAAAATGTCACTTGGAGCCACGTCGGGGCTGTAAGGTGGCTGCGGCAGTGTTGTCACGTTGAACTTGATCGAAACTTCGGAGGCGGCGTGCAACGTGTGAGCCGGCGCGTTGTCGTGAAGGAGAATCCAATCGCTCTTGATCGCCGGGCGGACTCGATCGCTCAAGCGTCGGAGCATCACAGCGTAAAAGTCACCTGTGACAATCTGTCCACGAGCACCAAACTCCTTGTGAATCACTCTTTTACAATTAAAAAAACAATCAGTATGCACTTCACACGCGACTTGCTCATGCGAGCTTTCTTGGGCTTCGGCAAGGAAGCAGTGTGCCAATCTGAGCTTTGACGCTTCGACTCAGGATCGTACCCGTAGACCCTGGTCTCATCACCAGTAGCCACTTTCTCCAGAAAGTTCGGATCAGCATTCAACCGTTGGAGCATTTCCTGGCAAACAGTCATGCGCCATTTCTTCTGATCCACCGACAAAACGTTTGGCATCAGTTTGGCACACACTTTTCGCATCGTCAAATTTTCCGTCACAATCCTCCACACCGTACTCTGACTGAGTACTCTGTTCATTGGCAATCAATCTAGTACTAAGACGAAGGTCATTGTTTAAAAGTTCCCGCACTCTCTCCACATTTTGATCCGTTCGGCTTGACGATGGCCTCCCAGAGCGGTCGTCGTTTTCAACATTCCCGCGGCCATCTTTAAAACGTCTGTGCTACATGAAAACCATTGCACGGGACATGGCTTCTTCCTTAAAGGCCTCTTGAATCATACCGAGAGTCTCCGTGGCGGTTTTGTTCAAACTTAATCTCATAACGTTGCTCCAAGTGCTGCTCCATTTTCGCCTCTCCCACTTTTCGACCGAGGTCAATGACACGCACTCGCGCTGCAAGCGATGCTCACTCTCCAGGGTTCCGGAGGCAATTGCCGCAGCGTCAGTTCGTTCCCTGAAACCCCCACTATTTCCCCCACCCGACGGATCCGGTCCACGAACTATCCCCTACTCAGAAAGGAAAAAGTCTTGAAACTTCTGATTCACACCCTGTGTATATAATATATATATACGTTTAGAGCTTTTTAACAAATAAGATTTCACACTGAAGAAAATAGAAAACAGGACAAAGAAGTAATCTTATTTACTGAGAATGTAAGTAATATTAAAATTAAAAATTTCACCTTCCAGAATAAAGTTGTTTAAAGAATGCATGATGTAAATTTTCTGTATTATGTATCTATAATTACAGATGATAAAGTTCTGTGTATAAAATCTCAAAATGAGTGAAGAGCATCCTCTGGCTTCTTACATAAGTATTTTAGCTTTTTTCGTTTTTAGAATTAAGAACTTGAGATATCCTTTAAGCATTATTGCAGAGCCAGAAATTTGAGAAACACTTAAAGAAACATGTAGATGATGTTTTACAAAGAACCAAACTATTATAAAGGAAAGCTGACTCATAACAGATTGCGATGCCCAAGGAAGATCAGCTATTCGCCGCAGATTTTCATACTGTTTGTTTGGTTTTGTTTTACGAATTTCCGTTCTTCTACCGATAAGCATGGAATAATGTGTCTTATTATTTTTATCACTCAGGAAATGCAGCACTTCCTTTAAACTAAGACAAAAGGATAAATCGAATTTCAATCTCTGTTCCACAAACAAGTAATTAGCCGCCCGAAACGAATCTATCGATACATACGCATTTGCATTTGAAGAATATATATCAATGTGAGGTAAGTTTGTCCTTACCTTTTACCTTGTTATTTTTTTCCGAAGGAAAGGAAGTATGGTAATCGGGAAAAATTTCAGGTATCAAATTTTAACCGAAATGTCCATTTTGACTCTTCAAAAATCCATTTTGACCCACTTTTTAGGACAAAGAGTCAAACATAACAATTAATTTCGTTTAGCCATTTTGCATCTTCCACTGTGAAACGGCGTTTCACTTTTCAAATTATTGCTACCAAATATTAAAGCCCCGTGTTAAGGAAATTAAATAATGAAGAATCTGCATGAATGTATGTATGTTTCTCTCATTGTGAAAACGAACGGTATCTAGACACTTAAAATTTTTAATAATGTAGCCCTCCAATTGAATATGGGTTCCTGGAAGCCCAAATTAGGAAGCTGAAATTTGTTTTATTATCTATTTCATATTTTGTAAAACGTTAACGAATTTTTGATTAACAAACTCAATGATTTCAAAGCGAGCAGTGGCAACACTGCGTAGAGACATTAATTTATTTCGAAGCAGGAAAAAAATGAGCAAGGCCCTCGCCGGGACTCGAACCACGGACCTCTCGAATACGTGCCGATGCTGCTAACCATAACACCACGGAGGTATGCTAAGTTTCACAAGTCTGATGATTCCATCTTTTCCTGGAAAGAGTTCCAATACTCTCCCTAGCAGCCAATGCAGCCTTTTTTTATCCATCTGTGCCAATTAAGACTATGTCACCTACATTTATTTCATCTTCTCTTTTGTTAACTGAAGAACGAAGGAAACCTATATACACCCTTTGAAACCTGCATTTTAGATTTTCACGAACCTTTTGAATATGTCTCCTTCTCAAAGCAATGTTAGTCTTTTCAATTTGATCCAAATCAGGAACATCATTTAATGAAATGTCCTGAAGAAACATTGAGGGGGGTCAAGGTCTTCAGATCTTGTTCTTCGGATATGTAAGTTAATGGTCTGCTGTTCATGATAGATTCGCATTCACAGACAAGAGTCTACAATTCCTCGTATGACAAACAAGAGCGTCCAAGATTTTTTCTTAAAAGATCTTTCAAAATCCAAATCAAGCGTTCCCAGAAGCCTCCAAACGAAAACGAATCGATCCAAACGAATCGAAACTTCCAACGAATTTCGTTGACTCTAAATTCACTTTCAATTGTAGTCCAATCTAATTGTTTCAGAACGTTGTTAGTCCTATAAAATTAGTATCATTGTCTGAATACATCACAGAAATTCGTCCTCTTTTGGCTATAAATCTACGCATAGCTCGGATGAAGTCATTGTTGCTAAGTGAAGGTATTAGCTCAAGATGGACAGCTCTAAATACGGCGCAAGTAAAAAGTTCTATCCACACCTTTTGTTTAGACTTAGTCAACAGAGGTCCAGCTATATCTACACCCGATACTTGAAAAACTGCCTTTTGGAAGAGGCGGAAAAAGTACCTCAAGATGTTTTACCTTTTGCCTTTTACATGTTAAGCATTCTTTGATAACACTCCGGACACTTATTTTCCCTTTTACTATCCAAAATCTTTCCCGTAAATAGTCAGTAGAGTTAATGACCCAGCATGCTTGTTAGCAATATGTTCTTTGTTTATAAAATCTTCTCACTGCCAAGTGTTTCGATGGTAGAATTATTGGAGAAATAAAATCTTTCGATTCTTCCTCATTTATCAATCTGGACTTCAATCGTAAAATTCCTTCTTCATCTAGAACAGTGGTGCGCAAACTTTTTTCGACTGCGACCCCTTTTGTAGAGAGAAAATTTTTGGCGACCCCTAGAGATAAATGTTCACAAATACGATGTACAGATGTTGGACAAAAATATGGAAACACCTTTAAAAAAACATGTTTCTTTGCTTAATATGGTGTAGGAAACCCGTTGGCATCCAAAACAGCTTGCAGTCTTCTCGGAATGGATAAATACAGTTCCTGTATGTTTGGCAAGGGAATATTATAACATTCTTCCTGCAAAACGGTGGCAAGTTCAGATAACGAGAACGCACTTTCCGTTCCATTGTAGACCACAAAGGTTCGATAATATTCAGGTCTGGTGACTGTGGTGGCCAGGGGAGATGGGACAACTCATCCTCGTGCTCAGAAAACCAGTCCTGGACAATGTGAGCTGTGTGAACAGGGGCTTTGTCGTCTTGGAAGACACCATCACCATCGGGGAACAAAGTTTGTACCATGGGATGAACTTGATCGGCCAAAATGTTCACATAAGTCTTGGCAGTCATGTGCCCTGACACAGTTACCATGGGGCTAGCAGAGAACCACGATATGGCTGCCCAAACCATAATAGAACCCCCGCCATGTTTCACTCTTGGCAACAAGCAGTCTGTATTATAGGCTTGAGATGGCGTTCTCCAGACGTAAACTCGACCAGAAGTGGTCGAGTTCTATAAGAAAGTCGGTGTGGTTCTATGTGAAAGAAGACTCGTCAGACCATTTACTCGCTTCCACTGCTCTATAGTCCAGGCTTTATGACTTAAACACCACCTTTTCCTGTTACGGGCATTATCATCACTGATGAGCGGCTTCTCAATTGCAGCACGGCCAGCAATTCCCTGTTTATGAAGCTCCCTTCTAATTGTTTTGGTACTCACCGGGTTCGGTAATGTAACATTAATTTCAGCAGTAACTTTTGCAGCTGTGGTCTTCTTATTTTTCGTCACAATTGCGTGCCTCGTCTGTCACGATCACTCAGAACACACTTTTGTCCGCGCTGTGATTTAGCAGATGATGTTTTTCTGCTTTTCAAATATGCGGAATAAATCTTCGATACAGTACCTGTTGAAACACTAAACACCTCGGCTACCTTGCTTACGGAAGCACCTACCATACGTGCTCCAACAATTTGCCCACGTTCGAAGTCTGTTAACTCTGACATAATGCAATGACAACCTCACATAACAGTACTCCGACAACAACTGAACTGTTTAGCACATTTACGAAGTTGTATAGGTGGCGTGAGTAGTCAAAAACGCCAGCGCCACCTACATATTTCATTAAAATCAATCTTTCTTTTCAAACATGCATTTCACAAGGTGTTTCCATATTTTTGTCCATCCACTGTATATTTCGCGCATTTCTTTCGTTTCATCGAATAGAAACATCATCATATCTGACTCATATTAATTTTATTTATAATTTTAGGAAAATACTTTTTGTATAACACAAAAATCAGTAAATTGCCCTTTAATGAGATGTATGGGGCTGCAAGTTTCTAATTATCTCATCGATGTTTGGATGTATGTTGCTAATTGCAATTCGCATATCATCTTCAGGGTTTAAACGCGAGCGGAATTTAGTTTTTATTGAAACTACTTTGCTAAATCCAGTTTCACATAAATACGTTGATGCAAATTGTATTAACACTCTGATGGCATTCTTGCATAAAACGGGATATTGTTTTTCCACGGATAGCCAAAATTTTTGGCAAGGTTGAGTCTTAAATTGATTTCGAAGAGTATAATCACTAATTAGATCTATCAGTTGCTCTTTCTCGCTAATTTGAAGAGTTGAACTGCATATGTCAAAGGAAAATGGATCACGAATCCAACCAAGTTCGTTTTCAGGAAAATCCTCGAATCTTCTTGAAAAATTTTCCTTTAACTTTTCAATGTGATTGGAAATGATGTTTTTAAATGTAAATATATCTATATTATTTTCCTTGATAAAATCGTTAAAGCAAGGGAACATGTCGGTGTTGTTTTTATTCAGTTCATTTTGCCAGAGACTAAGCTTATTCTTAAAAGCTTGAATTTTACTGGCTGAAGTTATGATAGTTGAATTCTCACTCTGCAAGCCCAAATTTAAGTCGTTAAGTTTTTCGAAAATATCAACTAAATAGCTCAGCTTCCCTAGCCAAACTTCATTTATATAATAACTTGCCAATCTATGTTTCTTTTCGATTAAAAACATGTACACTTCATTTCTCAAATCAAATATCCGTCGTAGTATTTTCCCACGTGAAAGCCATCTGACTTCGGTGTGTAACAGTAATCTCTCATACATTGAGCCCATCTCATTGCAAAGTATTGAAAAGAGAGACGGCTGTTGTGGCTGTTGCATTTAATGTAGTTAATTGAACTAACAGCGTCTTGTAATATGTTGTGCAACTCTTCATTCCATATCTTTTGCAACAAGAGCTTGCCGATGAATCATACAGTGATTAAATACCATATGAGGCGCCACCTTCTGAATTAAGCCTCTTAGCCCTTTATTCGAACCTGTTAGTGCTGCAGCACCATCAGTACAAACCGCAACACAGTTTGCCCAGGTAAGGGACTTTTTTTCAAAATATACATTTATTACTTCGAATATTTTTTATCCAGTTGTTTTTCCTTCCAAACTTTTTCAACATAAAAACATTTCTGTTATATCTTCATTAAAAATAAACCTAACGTAAATAATTGGTTGTGACATTTTAGTAATATCGTTAGTCTTGTCCAGTTGTAAAGCAAATACAGATGAATTTTGTATATGCGTTTTATGGCTTCTGACTCGATATTTCGTGACATTTCGGAAATCCGCTGAGACACGGTATCTCTTGATAACGGTATTGTTTTTAGTTCATTTCCATATTTATCGCCATGCATAATTGATGTCATCTTAGTTGCTGCAGGAAGGATAAGGGATTCTCCAATTGTATGGGGTTTCATTGTTTTTCCTATTAGATAAGAAACTTCTAAAGAAGCTCGTAATGCTTTCTGAGGTATTGTTGTAAAATTTCTTTAAATGTGCACTTTGAATTTTCAGATTTTCAGCTCGTCTTTGAAAAAAATCGGCATGTTTATTTTGAAGTTCTTTATGTTTAGTTTCCAGGTGCCTTTTTAATTTAGCTGGTTTCATGCTCTCATTTGCTAATTTTTCGTTTGCAAATGACACATATCGGGCGTTCTTCATCATCAACAACACAAAATGTAAAACCATACTTAATAAATTCCTCATTGTATTTTCTTATTTTTTTAGATCGGGCATTTAGTTCAGTATTTTGCGACTCCTCATCAGTATTTGTTCGTTTGTTAGCTGAAGATGTACCTGGTGTACGTATTACCCATTTATCCATTATGAAGATAGGGGTTAAATTATTTAAACTAAAACAAAAAATATATAAAATTTTATCAGTTTTTACGAGAAATTCAATAAAATTAACAGAAATCTTTCTCTAATGATAGTACATACCTGATAACAAAGAGTAGCAAAGCCCGATAAAAATATAAAAAATCATAATTACACAACGTCACATGATAAAACTCGAGGATAAACAAAAACAATTGCAGGCCAACTGCTACATGCTACAACTTCATGCGAACACTCCACGTCTTCCTCTGACTATCAGATACACCACGTACCTTGCCATCTGATTGGCTGATCACGGAAGCGAATTTTCCCCCTCTCTCTGCGGTCAACGTCTAGTCAAATAGGCGCTTTTCAGTAAAACTGGTGAATTACCGCGAAGAGAGCGCTATCTACCGGAGTGAAAAACTTGCGTCATCACACTTTACATCACAGCCGACTGTATCAGATTATATTATAGAGTTAGCTGTGACTTTACATATATTACGCATTACGGTCAAAGAAAGAGCGGACAGCATGAAATTGCAATTAAACAGTGAGTGACGGCGCTTCACTCTTTATATGTACACTGTATAGTATGCATCATGCAGGCATAATGCATTTCATAAAAATTTGGCGACCCCCAAAAATCTTCTGGCGACCCCCACAGGGGTCGCGACCCCAAGTTTGCGCACCACTGATCTAGAAGACCTAACTCAGAAGTCAAACAACAAAAATCAGCGTTATATTTTCAAATTTTCACAGGACTAGTTTCGATGGTTTTACCGAACCACCATTCTCAGCTGCAAAACAGCAAATGAACAAGATAGATATAATAATCAGAGAAGATAAGAAAGTCTGGAAAGAAAATAAGCTAGTGGTGCTCTCTATTGATGAAATTAGAACTAAAACATAATTTCTTTAAAGGCCGAAGGCAAAGATGGATTGGAATCAGGATCGTTAACTAGAACAGAAAGATTTTTTGAATGTGAAATGCCTGTAGAAAATCCAGTTCTCCAATGGAAGATGTTTTTTGGCAGTAGAAAAATTGAAAGTGTGGTTTGAAAGTGAAAGATCGGACCAAGAATTTTGGGCTACAGAAGACTTCTGTGTTTCCTTTTTCTAACATATGCCTCATGTTCCTTAGCGAAATTTTAAGGCTCTCTTAGTTTGGCCTCTAATTTAATTAATTTTGGGCTACAGAATATTTCTGTGTTTCCTTTTTTCTAACATATGCCTCATGTTCCTTAGAGAAATTTTAAGGGTATCTTAGTTTAGTTAGTTGTTTAAAATTTCGCTAAGGAACATGAGGCATATGTTAAAAAAAAGGAAACTCAGAAGTCCTCTGTTGCCCAACATTGTTGGTCCGAAAATCACACTTTCAATTTTTCTGCTGCGAAATTTATTCAAAAAACATCTTCCATTGGTGAACTGGATTTTCTACATTTCACATTCAAAAAAATCTTTCTGTTCTAGCTAAAGACCCTAGTTATAATCCATCTTTGCCTTCAGCCTTTAAAGAAATTATGTTTTAGTTCTGGTTTCATCAACAGATGGCGCCAGTAGCTTATCTCCTGTACAGGCTTTCTTATCTTATCTTATCTAATGATTATATCTTATTTCGTTCGTTTGCGCTTCTGCATCTGAGGATGATGGTTCGGTAAAACCATCAAAAGTAGTCCTGTGAAATTTGAAAATATAACGCTGATTTTTGTTGTTTGACTTCTAAATTAATAACCCTAACGTGTTTAATTAATTATTAAAGAATGTACTTTAATTTAAAATTAACAGATTATGAAATTTTTCTAAGTTTTCAGAGAAAATTTTCCAAAGAAATTTTAGAATAATTAATGACAATCTCTTACTCTTATCTACTGAATTTTCTTCAAAGCATAATTAAAAACTATACATATTAAACTGCATTCTCACTCCTATGAGTAATTGCCATATACTTTCTCCGATTCGTTAGCATTTAGAAATATAAACGTTAGGCAATTTTTCTTTAAAATATTAATTGTCTGCCACCAACGTTTGAGCTAATTATATAACATTTTGAGTATCTAGATGATTAACTTAAACATCTGGAGAATAATTAAATTGTTTATACAGAAAATTTCTGTGTTCTATTTCATCAGTTTAAATATAGTTCGCTTTTATTTCCTTTAACATGTGAAATTATTATCCCTTTGAATTAAGGGATAATATAAATTATTATATTATCTATTTGAATAGGTCTTTCAAACTGTGTCTTGTCATTTAGTTCCTTAGTTCGGCCACAATAATAAAATCAAGAATAAGAGAATTTATCATGAAAGTAGATATTAAAAGCTTAAAAAAATATTACTTATGTCTTCTTAGTTTTAGCTATCACAGTTAGTTAATTTCAACTATATATTCTATCTGGTTAAATTTAGAGGACTTTAAAAATTATATTAAATCATAATCTGGAATCTGGAAGTTTCATATACAGTTTTAAAAAGGTAGATGTGCAATTTAAGTTAACGGCAGATAATTGGAGATATTACTGTTTCATGTCCCCAAAATAGCTTGTAGAGTTATTAGTTTATCTGGAAGTAGGAGATGTGAAAAATGAGCAATGCCCTCGCGGGAATCGAACCATGGACCTCTCGAATACGCGCAGAGCGTGCTGACCACTACACTAGGAAGGCATGCTAAGACGGAGGGAGAAATACCTTATAAACTAACAAGAGCAATGAATAAAAATAAATTTGTATACAACAAAATCTAAAGCTCTGTGAACATTGTTATTTAAAAAATATCTTAATAGTTTGGAGGATTAAGCGAGACATTCAACTGATTGTCCAAATTAGCTTTTGCAAATAAAACTGTCGACTATAAGGATGAACTGAAAACTAAAAAGAAGTAAAAAATAATAGCATTTGTTTAATATTTTAATCTTCAGAAATATCAATGCTATTACTGACAACATATGGAAAGGCAATTTACACCGTGTTTGTAAAAGTAGAATATCTGGAAATGATAAAGTACTCCTCCGGTTGAAAAAGGAATGAGCCGTCAAGGAAACCTTTCGTTCTCAAACAATATAAAAAATTGTAATCCGTTGTAGGAAATGCGATGAAAGTATGAAAGGAAATGTGCTGCCTCGTATCCAGATTTTCATTAGAAAGGTGGTTGACACTGTATATGTGGTTGGGCGTTAGCTTGAAGCAGTATCTCTGTGTCTGTTCTCAGGTTCTGGTTACTACAAAGTATATTGTTTGTTATCTGGCTGATCTTTCGTATAGTTTACCGCAGTTATAATTTGATTTTATTCTTCAATTAATTCGAATCGATAGAGAAAAAATGATTAACCATGGGACTTGTTTTGTAGCCTTCCATTTTCTAAACGAAATTTCGTAAGTTATGTGAATGGATGGTTTTTATGGAATGGATGTCGTTAGTTGTGAATGGATGGTGTTAATGGAGTTATTTCCACGTCTGACTTGATGTCGGTAGTATTCAATGTTTAATGTTTGTTGAACGCGATAGACACTTCAGTTGCATCGTTCTTTTGTCGCGTTATCACATGACGTAACAAAATTACATAGCCCTTGTTATCTTTCACAAACAAAAGAATCTTGACATCATTCAGTCATTTGCAATACCTAAAAACAATGTGAAATAACTGATTTTTGCACATAATGATTTTTACAGAGTTAACAGTATTTGTAAACGTTTTTAATTTATATACCTAATATATAAAATTTTCACCTTTTAATTTTATTTCTTTTCAAAATTTTCTGAAATTACATTGTTATTTTGCAGTTGGTGATGGATCGTCTTTACAAGTTCCTGGTTCTTTTGACGGCTGTAGCTCACATATCCCCTGAACCGATTATTAATGATTGCGGTTCAACGGCTGTGGTGAACAGTGTCACCGTAAGTGGATGCGCTGATTCGATGAATTTTTGCCCATTAGTTCGAGGTACCGATGCCAACGTAACAATTGCATTCACATCCAATTCCGAAGCCAAGATTCTTGAAGCCATTGTCACTAGTGCATCATTTGGTGTTTCTCTGCCAATTCCTGTTCCTGAACAAGATGTCTGCAAGAGTGGAATTTCTTGTCCACTGCATAAGGGACAGTTATATACCTACATGAGTCAGCTAGAGGTTAAGAAAAGCTATCCGCTGACACGCATCCTTGTCGTTTGGAAGCTTATAGATGGTAATGGCAATGATTTGGTATGCGTGGAGATACCATGTGAAATAAAAAAACCCTTGCATCAATGATTAATCTCCTGCATTGACCATAATATATATGGGCTCTTACAAAATTATCGACTTAGGTTATCTCGTTTGAAATTCACAAGAATCAGTTCTCACTTTTACAAGATTCAATTCGGTTTATAATTTTTTAGCATCTTTTTTGTTATTAAATTTAAAAGCTGTTTTAATAACTCTAGTCTAATAGCTGGATATTTGAAGCTATATTTTCAGGAAGGAACACTAATGTTTTCCAGACAGAGATTAGAGGCGTGTATTCTGAACAGTTAATAGCTATTTTTTTCATTTATCATTTCGCTGTGCCATTTCAAAAGAAAATCAGTAAAAATGCTATCTATCATTCGTGAGTTCATAGGGTCAGCTAGAGGTAAATTCTTGACTTCTTTCAAGCATCGAGATTTTCTGCTTCTGTCAGGTACTAGGACTGCCTTATTTGTTGAGATTTTATTAAAACTTAATAACACAGTACCTCGTACTTTCATTTTATTAATCATTAGGTCTTCCACTTTTAAACATTACTGTGCGTTCTGTTAATATTCTGTAATATATTCCAGTTTTATCTATATTATAAATTTCTGCTCTATTAATTTAGCAACTTAGGTAAAACGTCAGTTGTCTATTTATCAGCCGAATGATTATACCTTATTCTCGCATACATTTTATGAGGAACAAAATTTTATTTCTTTCTTTATAGCTTGGAAGAGATTCTTGACTTGATACAAATTTCTCATCTAGCATTTTAGTGAATTCCACAGAGTTTGTAATGAAAAGACTTATAGAAATAAGAGTATGCTTTAGTTTTCTAGCTTGAAACCATTCTAAGCATATTCAATGTCTTACGATTTTTAGACTTATATACTCTTCCTTGAGAAGTTTGCGTGTTTATTAGTTCTTCATCAAATATAATTCTTTAAGTAAATTGCTCAAATGTTGTTTGGGAAAATATCAGTTTAAATGCAGTTTCTCTCTGGCTGCACTTACCAAGACTATCAAAATCTTTTAACAATTTAAATTTTCTTTCAGGCTGGAAATTTTCGTCAAGGTGTTTTCTAAATATTACAAGGTATGCACATAACACATTTTAAGATTGCTTCTTCCAGCGATTTATTCGATTTTACAGCGCGTTTCTAGCCAAGCCAATGTTTGCTCGTTTTGTTTGTTAAATCGATGTGCTTTACGATTGCAAGCTTCATCAAGTTTTCTTTGCTTTTTCTTCAGCCTGCAGTTACTCTATTTCATTTAACGTCTGTTAATATATAATAACTACTTCATGATTTCAACTACTTCATGAAGGAACTACTTCATGATTTTTGATTAGAATTCTTTCTGAATGGAAAGCAGAAGGAAATTAAGTACTTTCCAGCTCTAGTACCAACAAAGAGTTCTAAACAATGTATCTTTGTCAGCATGACAATCTAAGCAATGTCTCTAAACAACCTAGGTAAGGAACTGGTGGTGAATAAAAACAAGCAACCCGCTTTAAAAAAGGCCAAGATGCTTGAAGAATAAATAAGCGACGATTGACACTAAGTTAAACGGATGAACCAAAAACAGCTTTGATAGTTCCAAGGATATTCTAGCACTGAAGAATTTATTTTTGTCAATTTGAGTTTTATAAGCGACAGAGATGAGTTTAATCTGTTGATTAATATCCATTTCATTTGGTTTTTTTTGGTCTGTTGGTAAATGTTTCATAATAATTTAGTCAAAATGACGGTTTACTTAGTTTGAAAATGAAGCTTATATAATAATAGATATTGTGATGGAAGTGAAGATAATACTTTCTAAACAAGGGAAGTGCATCTATTTAAAAGAAATTATATTAGTAGAGTAGACATAATCAAACGTATTATCAGTATAAATAGAAAGGGAAAAAGTATTGTAATAGTATTGTACCACCATAATAATACAAAACAATAAATTCCGAGTTGCTATTTTATTCTATCAAATATGTAAATTTCACTTTACTGCATTTACAGTTTTAACGATCAGGTGTACACATTAAAAGTAGAAAACGCTGTGGGTTGATAATGAATTTGCACAAAAAGGTTAAAATATAAAACGTGAAAGGAAGACAAATGTATGGTACGTATTTTCAAAAATCAGATATTTTCCCCGGATTCTGCGTAATGAAAGTCACGAATACAGTGATATATGCGTGTCCAGTAATTATTTGATTGCAATGAAAATAATATATCATTCTCATTTTTTTAGGAACATCAAAGTTCAACAAATAATCTTTCATTTTTTCCGCAATGTTCCATTTCTCTTTCCAGCAGGCATAACATATATCCTTGATTTTAATAAATAACAATACGTTTTGATGCCTGAATATGAAACGCATCCTCGGCATTACCCACAGCAGCTTCTTTGGCCAATACGTCGGCCCTCTCATTGCCTATAACACCAGGATGGGCTTTCACCCAGTTCATTTTCACTTCATGTATTTTGTCAACTTTTACAATAAGATCTTTTACATACGAGACCAACATATTAGTGTTATCAGAATCTGACGTCAACAAAAAGCAGCATACCATGAGAATGATGAATCCCAGAGGAGAATTCTGATGAGCAAGTCGCCAATAATGATATAAGACTCAAACACATCTTTTTATATAATCTGAACTTAGTAATATTAAATTTACTGTCAAGTAAACTGAAAATACCTAGTATCAACAGTCGAAATGAATTCTAGATTTATTTAGTCGATGATAGATTTTACTATTGGTGAGTATTCAAAGAAGGCAACAGACTCAAATGATAAATTGGCTCTGTTAGAGATAGATTAGAGATTTCTATGCTTGTAAAATTAATAATCCGAGATATGGTCTCCTTAATTAGCCTGTTTTCTTTAACTCTGCTTAGGAATTTTCACAGTTGCTTCGCTAAAGAATGTCACATTTAAAGATAAAATAAATCATTTAAATTTGTTGGTTATCTAATAGATTTCTATTGTGACAATACATTTACATGTTTTTACGTTATGCATCTCTTTATTTAGCAAAAATACATATGTTAGTAACTTTAAAGGCATTCCGAATTTTTAAATTTTGAGACGTATATATTTCATTACACAGAAAATGAAAATGTATTTTACATTTTCTGTGTAATGAAATATATACGTCTCAAAGTTCTACATTTTTTATTTAAAAAAGTATTTTTACATTTTTGGTGGAAAATGAATATAACAAAAAGAGAGCTTTTCTTTAAATGATCAATTGGAGGAAGTAAAATGAAGCTATTAATTGTTTTTCTGAAGTTTTAATGTCAGCTTAATTATTCCAATTTAAATGGATATTAATATTTTTATTTAATACTGATTCATGCATTACCCGTTGCATCAATTTTGCTTATAAGATAAAGTCAATATTTTCTTAATTTGTTTTATTATTAAAATATGTCTAACGTTAATTAATTTATCTGACATGTAATACGGTTATCAGTAAAATAATAAATGCGCATTTTATGAAGTTAAAACAAGTTGTGACACTATTTTACACCAAAGTTTCTAAATCAGTTTATAATAAATTTAGTCACAAAATACGAGATTTCATGTTATTTAAGGATATCTTTATACAAAACAATCAGATGATAGTGGAATTTGGCTTTACTACCGTCATTTCTATGATGTCGAAGCCTGCTTTAATTTACTTATAACTTGTTTTGAACAGAATTTTCTACAATTATCTGGAGAGAGTAACATTACAGATTCTTACAGTAAAAGACTTATCTTACTTTAAAGAGTAAGTAAGATTACCTTGTCAAGTTTTGGGAAATTTCATCAGCAGTTAAACATCTATTCAATGAGAGATATCAGTGATACACTGCATTGTCTTATCACTTTTGAAGTAAGCATTAGAGATAAGTGGCTAAATTTCCTATTTAGAAGTAAAGACAAATAAATATAACAGAATACAAGTTTAGCCCAACGAGGCAATTTGGCCAGAAGAGCTATTAATTTTGTTTTGGCATTTTGCGTTGATTCACTATTAACCCAGTCCATTAATCTATACAAGGTCGGATGTGGTGGTATGTTTATTATAGAGCCACCTAATAGGTGAGCCACCATCGCCTTTCTTATGAAGAGACGGACAGTTACAACCTCCGGGATTCGGACCCAGGCCCTTCGGCATCGTAGTCACTTCCCTAACCACTATACCAACTGTGCTGCGCATTTTTTCTTTAAAAGCCCAAAACATTAAGAGGAAAAGAACTCAGAAGAAAATAAAAGAGTATTCTTAAGTACAAAGTGCACATAAAAAGCTTTTCTCACTATATCAGCCCCTAACAGCATATCTGCTCAACCAATAGAAGTAAAATTTCTGATATTATTATTCGAAGGTAAGCGCTCGAGATTGTGATGATTTGAAACAATATAGTTCTCACGGTTAGGGCTACAGTGAAAAAGATCTCGAAATTTTTAAATGGCACCAAATGCTTTTTTCTGCGCAAATTGATTTGCATAAAAAAAAATAACAGCTTTGGAACGATATACTTATAAAGAAAATCATCGGCCTAAAACATTTACAAAGAAGTACATTCTAAAGTTCCAGTGACAACACAAGAGGAGAGAGGGGAAAGCATTTTATTGGAATTAGAAGCCTTCAACGTACCCACTGCCTACCTTTGCAGATGATAACGCAAACACAGATGATTGTTGACAACAATGACGAACATAACACAGCAAGAGGAATCTGTATAACTTCACGTTTGATGGCATCTTTTAATTCTGGCAAATCTTTGATTTTCTATGCATACGCCTAAAATTTCAGATAATCCCAGAATCAGAAATCCATTCCGAGTGAGGTCAGGGGATTGCGGCGGCCACGAAACTTCAAAGTTAGAGATCTGACTCTATGTTGAAACTTGTACACGTTGAAAACTTGCGATTCCAATTTTCCCTCTTCCTATATAAATTTTTTCCCCTCTCCTATCTTATATCGTCACTTGTCCTTTACAATGCTTTTCTTTGCAAATGTTTGCGTCGCCAACATTCGTTATACGTGTAACGTTCAATAATGTATATGTGTCTTCAGTTCACTTACCAGCTTGCGCAGGAAAAAAGTAGGTGCGGATATTCGAAAATTTAAAAATTGTTTCAGTGTTGCCAAGACTGTGAGAGTTCTTGTGTATTAAAATCATCACAATCTCACAATCTCGAGCGCATGCCTTCGAATAACAATTTCATTTCGACTGGTTGAGCGGATAAGCCGTTAGGAGTTCATATATCGGGGAATTTTTTCTATGGCTGCTCTGTAATTTTTGACATATGCTTTCGATTTGCTCATAACAGATGTCATCTAGTTATCTAAATATTGTCTTACATGATGCCAACTGTTGCTCATATTATTTTCCTATGGGTTAATAATATTAGTTATCAAACATGAAAAGACTTTGTGACAGATTTGTTCACATGTTGTCTCTCTGGACACTGCACGTCCTGGACGGTCTGTTGTTTAGTCAAGGCTTACTGCTTTTCTCAACACCTGTGTGCAAGTTCGAATTGCCCGTAAGGCTTGCCCGTCATTCCGTTTCTTTGAGGTGAAATGGCGGTCGTCTCCATGTAGTGCTGTCTAGGCAATTCTATTATTGATGAGACGGCAATGTTAAAAACCATTTGATTCATTCATTCCTGACGAAAGCTTTAAACTGCATGTGCCCTATCATTATTAAATAAAAAGAACTGTAGTAAATTATAACATAGACTCACGCATACATATATTTTGCTGATAAATTCTATACGCGGTTCTTTCTTATTTGTTTTCTAATTTAAAAGGCTTATCAGCGAGTTTTTGAAATGTCGTCAGTCTCCCAAAATATTTTTTAGTGTTTTTATTGGAAAACATTAAAAAACACGATTAGGAGCATCGCAACGAAGTCCAGGTCTCCACTGTATTCAGTCGTAATTTTGTTTTGCCATATAAAAAATAAATGTTAAGTAAAGACCTTGTGTAAAGATGTAATTTGTTAAAATGAAAACAATGCACTTATCTAAAATATGTTTTAACTTTTACTCCTAGTATTAAAAAGGTTACAAAATTCAACGACTGACGTCGCTGATTGGGCCAAAGGTCGTACTTTATCTACAAAGTAACGCCTTAGCTACCTTTTGTTTTCTATTTTGAGAGCTTACTATGTCCTTTACATCACCCAATGTCATTTTTTCTCGGTCAGACACTTGAGAAACACGTGAAAATACATGCTTACGCAAGTGGTGTTTCAAGAAGAAGAGTTTAGTAACAGCACTGTAGCTTGTAATTGATTAATCGTGAGATTAAAGTATAATGATAACAGACACTATACACCGTCCCATAAATCCATAGATTTGATATTATGAGAACTATTGCAACTACAACAATTCTTAATTTTGAAAAGGTATACTAGTGGAATATAAGCCTCCTGTTGAAGATTTTCGATTTTTTAACAATACGTTATGGATCGTTTTTACGTATTCTTCGTTCTGTCAGCGATCGCAGCCCATCTATGCACTGCATCGAAATTTGAAGACTGCGGTTCAACTGCAAAGGTGAATAGTGTCAACATAAGTGGTTGTCCGGATTCGGCAGATGTGTGTCCGCTGATAAGGGGTACTGATGCCAGTATCACTATCGCATTTAAATCGAATTCCGATGCCAAGAGCTTGAAAGCCGTCGTCTATGGTATTATATCATTTGTTCCTTTGCCATTCCCACTTCCTCAATCAGACGGCTGCAAAAGCGGCGTATCTTGCCCAGTGCAGAATGGTCAGTCTTATATCTACAGTAATAAACTGAAGGTGAGAAAGTCTTATCCTTCATTGTCTGTCACTGTCAAATGGATGCTAAAAGATGAGAAAAGCAATAATCTGGTATGCATTAAGATACCGTGTAAATTACAGTAAATTTCATAATTTTGATTTTAAGCTTTACTCTTCCTATACAGTTCCGAGGACATTTATTAAATAGTTTATAACTTCAATAGATAAAATATTTTCTGGAAACTTCTATAAACTATGTAGCTTCAGAAATATCTATAGAAACTCGGACATGTAACTAGATTATGAATGTGTTTTTACAAATTGTTTTTTGTAAGATATATAGATTCAGTAAAGGAAATATTACATTACATTTTTCATTATAAAAGTAATTTAATAGTACGTTTGTGCTTTTAATTTACATTAATATTTGCCATTTGTTTAAGTGAGCCATGGAATGATAAATAATAAAGGTTTTCTTGCAATACTATTCCATCATTTACATATTATCATCTGTTGTTTCAAATGAAAGTATAATTTAATTTACCTTTAGACATAGACTTGAGACAGCAAATGTTATTTAAACCTGAAACATATTTAATTCTACACAAATGAAGTATTGCCGGTAAGTTTTCTCCTCTTGAGATTAATTCTATTCAAATATGTATTTTAATGAATAATTATTGATACATACATAGATAGATATATGTCTAACTTTATAGTCGAATAGAAAAGGAATTTTAAAATGCTCCTTGATAACAGGAAACAATATTTTTTCAATCGCATTAACAAGGTTCCTTCGATTGATGTTTCTCGTGAACATAAATGTTTAATAAAACAGGCAAATCGAGAACCTTGTATTCGGCGTAGATGTTGCAAAATCACAATCGACTGAGGGCAAAACGGGTCCCCCTTCATCAGGAGCAAAAAATTCTGCCTACCCCCCAAAAAAAGAAGAAATGTTTATTTAACGGCAAATTTAACCGCAATTATGAATAATATTTTATCCTTGAGCAACAGAAATCTCTTCAAGTAAAATGTTTATTAATAGTTTCATTTTTAGTTTGTATGAAGTTTAAATTGAATTTGTATGAACACATGGTAGTGTAAGCAATTACCACAGTCTACCGCCAGATGGCGTCATGATATTAAAAGATATTCAAAGCATTTATAATAAAAAAAAAATCAAGAGATAAGGAATGTAACTACGGCAACAGACGATATTAATTACTTTTACACTTTTTAAAAGAGCAGTAGAATAAAGTATTTCGATGATGTTGGTTGTGAATTTCTGTCCAGTTAAATAATAACGAAAAATCAAAAAGATATGTAAGAGATGGATGTAAGATGTGAAAGGATCTTAAGTTTTACTAACGTTTATTTTATTTTAAATCTTTACTATCACTTCTTATTTTCTACTTCCGGCCAGAATTATAAGCGTTAAGGTTTTTATGCAAAGTTTGTCTGGCGAACGCCAAGTATTTAAGTTGTGGCTTTTTGCCAAGCGAGGGAGAGGAAGCAGTGAGTCGAAGCAGGCCGCTTACCTTAGAAGTTACGCAGTTGCTGGTTGCCTTCCAGGCCAGAGGTTTTAATCCTCTTGATAAATTTAAACGTATTGTAGTGTTCACAGTTCTCTGTACTACATACGCCTTCCTGTTAATATAAGGCCAATCTTCCACGTTTTATTATTTTAAAATTAGAGTTTAGTTTATTTTTATATTTTTATTTTACGTTAGACCCCAAGTAGGGTCGGTGTATTCCGAAGTACGGAAAGTCATTGTAAATAGAAAAATAAAGGGTTTTGTATACCCTTCTTCTTGTGTATCCTGTTTTACTTCCCACAGTTTTGAACATAGCTTTAGTAAGCTCTCTGTTCCGAGTCAGGTCCTTGCATGTTCCCGAAGAAGGTTAGAAGGAACATTGAACCTGATAGTGGCGCCCAACGAAGAAGAATAACCATGGCCGAGTTTCAAGAAGAACCTGTGCTGCCTGCAGAAACGGCTCAGAATCCAGAAATGCCAGCTGCCGCCCTGGAAGGATTTGGTTACATCGTCCAGACCATGCGCGCTTCGATGAAACCAGAAGCAACATTTAATGGAAACTCACCGGTAACCAGTTTTTTGGAAAAATTGGATGACCACTTCATGCTCTACCCCGTGCACGAGTTTCAAAAAGTTACCTTAGCTACCAGCGCTTTGAGGGGCCAAGCGCTTAACTGGTTCAAATGTATAGGCAGAAGTCTCTTGGGTCAAGCAGGAAGTCCCCCTATACTTACGAAATTTCAAGACTGCCCTACTAAAAGCCTTCCCTGTTGTAAGGGATCGTGCGAAATTAGAAACGGAACTTTTCAGTATATATCAACAAAGAATCGAAAACCTCTCAAGCTTTATTTTAAGAAAAATTCACGTCTTCAAACTCTTGTATGGAAACCGTCCGGATCCTGAAATAATTCAAGTGATTTTGCCGAGGTTACTGCCCCAAGTGCAAGACTTTATTGAATTAAGAAATCCGACTACACTGGAAAAGTTATTTGAGCTAGCAATCCAGTTTGAAAGTAGAAGAACGGCGGACGTCGAAAGAAGACGCCAATATCAACAGCGAAACCAATTTGGTGCGCCAAGACTACAGCAAACTCAAGCACACGGCTACGGAAGCAAAGCGAATCAGTGGGCAAGGAAACCCGAGCATTCAAAAACAGCCGGCGAACGTCGACAGTTCAATAGCAATCCAGGAAAAAAGTCTCAAGGCCAGTGGAAAAAGAAGGAAAGCACGGAAACGAAAAAGGATTTAAACTAAAACGGATTTCTGCTGACGAGAGGGTGCGGAAATCCGAAGGCCACGAAAACCCCTCTTCCTACAAGTTAAATACAGTAATGGTGAAAAATTTGACTCTTCCGAAGATTGAAGTGTTGGTGAATAATCCCAGCCACCGCACTCCTGGATACAGGCGCGCAGTGTTCCTGTGTGGCAGAAGATTTTTTTAGGAAGTATTTTCGTAAATATCCGCATATATAATTCGGATAATACGACAGTGTTAGCTGCGCAAGGAGAAAGATGTAAGTGCATAGGTAAAGTTACCGCTGTATATCCGTATCAAGGACGAACAAGTAAAGGTGATTTTTTTTTATAGTAAAGAATCTGCAAGCACATATAATCTTAGGAATAGATTTTCTTTCAGACGCACAAGCAACACTGGATTTTAATGAAGCTCGGTGAAACCAGTTCGTGCAGAAAAGGCTGAACCGCCGATGTTAAAACTTGACCACCTGCCTAATGACGAGCAAGAAGAATCCGACAAGTGGTAAGTAAGTGAATTTGCTTCGTTATTTAGTGATATTCCAGGATTTACTCAGGTTACTAACCATAGTATTGACACCGGAGATGCAATGCCAGTTCGTCCAAAAACCATACCGGTATGATAAGAATAAGGAAAAAAATTATAGAATGGCATATTACCGATATGCTACGTAAAAAGATCATAACGCCCATCTCAAGTAGTTATGCTAGCCCGGTGGTTTTTATGTAAGAAAAATAATGACTATCCTTTGAACGCATCCAAAAAGGTGGAGATTCGCTATTGATTACCGTAAATTAAACTCCATAACTAAATATCCGGTATATCCGTTACCGATTATTGAAGAAATTCTAAGGAACATAAATCAAACCAAATTTATGACGACTTTAGACTTAACGAACTGGTTATTTTCAAATAGGGGTTAGGCCTGAGGACGTGCCTAAGACTGCTTTTATAACCAAGTCTGGCACTTATGCATTTTTGCGTATGCCGTTTGGCCTTTCAGGGCCCCGGCAACATTTCAGCGATGCATGGACATTGTGTTAAGGCCTGTTCTTGGAAAGTCCACATTTATCTATTTAGACGATATCATTATTACTAGTGATAATCTCGACCAACATGTACAGGATTTAAGACAGGTGTTTTCTTTATTAAATGAGGCCGGTCTAAAAGTTAATGTCGAAAAGTGCAAATTTGCAGCCCCTGAATTAAAATATTTAGGTTACAAAATATCTCAGAAAGGAATCGAGACAGACGAATCAAAAATAATCGCTGTACAAAAGTATCCGACTCCAAACACGGCAAAGAAGCTCTCTTCTTTTCTAGGACTTTGTTCATATTATAGGTCCTTTATAAAAATTTTTGCAGCTATTGCTGAACCATTGTTAAAATTAAAAAGGAAAAAGGCAAGATTCTCGTGGACGGCCGAAGCCAATAGTGCTTTCGAAAAATTAAAACAAGCATTAACGCAAGCCCCTGTGTTGAAATTTCCTGAAAAGGATGAGAATTTAGAAATTTCAGCGGATGCTTCGGATTATGCGGTAGGAGCGGTACTTTCGCAAAATCAGCAGCCCGTGGCATTTTTTAGCCGAACTTTAAATCAAACACAAAGAAACTATTCCGCGACCGAGAGAGAGGCACTTGCAGTTCTGTTAGCAGTGCAAAAGTTCCGAGTCTATTTTGGAAAGGCGCCAATAACAGTGTACTTCTGATCATGCGGCGGTAACTAGATTGTACTCAGGGAAAAATTTATCCCCAAGGTTAATAAGATGGGCACTCAAGCTGCAAGAATATAATCTGGTAATCAAGCATACCCCCGGAAAGGAAAATATCGTAGCAGATGCCCTATCCAGAATTAAAAATAGATGAAGAAGGTAATACCGTAAAGGTGGCAATGCTCACATCATGTACAATAAATTCCCGAGAAAACTGTAATAACCGAACTGGGTAAGGATCCTGAGTTTGGAAGCATTTATGAGTATTTAAAGGATCCTGAAAATTTTAGCCACCAAGATATTGTGGCGATAAGAAATAGGGCGGCCCATTACGAACTAATAGATGGTCTATTATTTTATACAAAAACTACGAATTCCAACAACGAATTTCGACCTGTTATCCCAGCTAGTCTTAGATTAAATATCCTGCAGGAGCTCCATGACAGCCCTTTAGCTTCTCATGCTGGTATTCGAAAAACTATCCAACGCGTACGCGAGGCAGTCTACTTTCCTGAACTGCAAAAGTTAACAAGGGCGTATGTCCAGTCCTGCCCAACATGTCAAGCAGTTAATTATATTAATTTCCGCCCGGCCGGGTTTCTAAATAGTATTAAATCCGAATTTCCAAATGAAATAATTGGCATCGATTTATTGGGCCCTTTCCCAAAAAGTCAGTTAAATAAAAGTCGCTATCTCCTTGTTATGTTTGATCATTTTAGTAAGTGGACCGAAATTGTTCCCTTAAA